TTGGCAACACTAGCCCCTACTGCAGACCCAAGACCTTTAAAAAATCCCTAGGTTGAGGTTCGTGGGCTTCACAGAGCGCGGGATTTCGGTACGCTGCGTGGCAAACCGGTCAACGTCCGTGCCAAATCCTTGCGCGTGTCGTTGCCCCAAACTTTGTCGATGACGACGAGTACGTATATGTGCTGAGACGGACGGGAACCGAAAGAGAGTGCGGTCAGTTGATACCATGTGCCCGGGTTATGTCCGATTTTAAATTGTGTGAAGCATGGACCGGATAAGTACACTAATTATACGTCGTATGTTTATAAGGGAGATGGAGATAACATAGGGGACTAAAGTAGGGCTCCTTGCCGGGTAAGTGTCTAGAGTACTCCGTACCATGCACGATGATGGGCAGGCAGAAAAGAGACGGCAGGGACTCCACCGGGAAAAACAACCACAACCACAACCAACCCCCTCATCAACAACCCTTGTAAGGATGTCATGACATATCACGGCACTTGCAATCGACGGTACCCCGATCGTGGCTTGAATCCCACGAGGGCCGCGATTTTGGCTCCCGGGGCAAAAAGTGATCAAATGGTGATGGAAGCTGATCGAACCGTCGAATCCCATTAGGATTGCCCTTCAATTGCCTTGGTGGCGGTCTAGAGCGCCTCGTGGCACGTAGATGAAGAAGTCGAGTTGACGCAAAGGGACCCGAGGCAGGAGTGCACTGTAAATAGTGAGTGGAGAAGCAGGTGGAGACCGAAGTCGATGATTTCTCACTTCAATTGAATACTGGATCATGTATGAGACTTTGAGGAAGAGGAGCATGAGTAGGACCGACCGTACTGAGAACCCGCCCTCCGTATCATTCTCGGGCGTCGGCATCCTTACCTCACTTACTAAAGTTGCTAACCTTCTAAGTTACTGTACATATGGAGTTAGACAAGTTTCGAGGACCAAAGTTTTCCCTTGGCTAGTACTTTTCGCGGCCCCCCTTTTTTTAACTCTCCTTCACTTTCGGGGTCTGGGGAGAAGAAAACTACGTCACTGTCTCGATCTCCCTCGCTTCGGGATTTGCTCTTCTTATTCCACTTGCCATTGACCCTGACTGCAGCAGGAAAACAGAAACAATCATCTTAGTCTCGAATTCCTTGAACCTCTCCCCCAACTCCTCTCTCCACATGTTCTCGAAACCACACCAGTGTGTCAGTCCCGCTTGACTTGCTTCCAAAATTACTCTCTTCGGAAATCTAGGGCACAGTTAGTGGCGGCTTAGCCCGGTACGGAGAGGCTTGGGCTATAATCGTCTGTATCGGTGCACTCCACTGTTTTCTCGGCTCATGGTTGTCCAGCGACTCTCGGACCAGCCAGAGCGCCCCCCTCCCCCCCTCACTCTCAGTTCTGCAGAGTCGACAGATTGTTCCTCCGCTTCGTCAGATCCGACAGGGTGTTTCGCATTCAGCTTCTATACTTCTTAGGCTATTAGCCGATCGGATTGTCCCCCCCCCTCAATTCCTCTCCCTGGCAAACAGGGAAAGCGACGGGGGCCACTTAGACCAGGACAGGACAGGACAGGATAGGATAGGACAGGACACGATGACAGATGAAAAGAACTCATCGACGATCCAGGTGGGCTAGACCCATAATAATCGAATCAATTCCCCAAAGTCCAAGCACAGAGTCACATTCATCGTGGTCATATTTTCCCCTCATTCCCCACGTGGTCGTTCGCTCCCCCACCATCGCTTGTCGCACGATACCCGCATACAGATGACAGACGGTCACAGACCCCGATCTGACATATCGTTCACTCTCCAATCAGAGGATCGCCCTTGCATGTAACACTGACCGTCCTCTGCCTCGTAGGAACAAACCCCATTAGACTCGATAAGCGACAGTACCAGCGTGCTGAGTGACTACCATGCCGAAGAAATCCTCCCCTATGAAGCGGGTGATTCGCCTTTCCCAGAGGTCCGCGCGGTCGTCCGGCCGGTAGACGATCAGAATCTACCGGTCAACACGGTGCGCATGTGGGTGATTGGTGTTGTCTTTACCATTGTAGGTACTATGCGCACTCTCTTCCCTTGGCACAGCTACAGGGATAGCCACGAGAGGTCTCCAATCACTGACGACTGCCCCTCCCCTTTTTGCAGGTAGGAAGCGGTCTAAACCAATTCTTTAGCTTGCGACAGCCGAGCGTAACCATCAGTGCATTAGTCGCGCAGCTGCTGGCCTATCCGATCGGATGCGCTTGGGCACAGTGGGTGCCGCTGGGCTGGATGAACCCGGACCGCCATTTCAACATCAAGGAGCATGCCCTGATCACGATCATGGCCAATGTCTCCTTCGGGTCAGCGGCAGCCACGCAGATGATCGAGGCGATGGTCAAATTCTACGGTATGCCTTCACAGGGCGGATTCGAAATCTTGCTGGTGATCACGAGTCAACTGTTCGGATTTGGCCTGGCCGGAATGGCTTCGCGCTGGCTAGTGGGCCCGGCAACCATGATCTGGCCGCAGGTGCTATCGAATGCAGCCCTGCTTTCGACTCTGCACTCGCGCAAAAACCTCGTTGCCGACGGGTGGATCATTAGCCGACTCCGCTTCTTCCTGATTGTTTTTGTTTTGGGGGCCATCTGGTACTTTGCTCCGGGCTACCTCTTCTCCGCCCTCAGCACCTTCAGCTTCATCTGCTGGATTGTACCCGACAATGTAGTCGTGAACCAGCTGTTTGGTCAGGTAACGGGATTGGGGATGTCCCTGTTGACCTTCGACTGGGCCCAGGTCGTTTTTGCGAACCAAAGCCCACTCTTGGTGCCCTTCTGGGCGGGTCTCAATGTCATGGGCTCGTTCGTCTTGTTTTACTGGGTGATCTGTCCGATCATCTACTACACCAACACCTGGTACTCGGCTTATCTGCCCATCCTCAACTCGAATACCTTTGACAACACCGGCAAGACCTACAACACCACCCGTGTAATGCATTCGGATGGGTCCTTCAATGTAGACGCTTACCGGGATTACTCCCCCATGTTTTTGCCTGTCGGGTACGCTTTGACGTATGGCATTGCATTCGCTAACCTCACCGGGATCTTCTTCCATGTGGCACTGTACCATGGAAAGGATCTAATTGAACAGTGGAAAGGGCGGGATCAGAAGGATGTCCATTGTCGGATCATGGAAGCCTACAAGGGTGTTCCTTGGTGGTGGTTCGCTGCCATCACCGTTCTTATGTTTGTGCTGAGCATCGTGACCAACGAGGTCTGGCGGACTGGTTTGCCGGCATGGGCCGTGCTGGTAGCCTTTATTCTCCCCATCATCTACTTCATTCCTGTGGGAATCATCAAGGCCATAACCAATATCTCCAGCAACCAGCTCAATCTAATCACCGAGTTTATCGGTGGGTACGCGTTCCTCGGTCGCCCGGTCGCAAACATGACGTTCAAGTTCTACGGCTATGTAGCCGTGTCGCAGGGGTTGGAGTAAGTTTTTAGCATAAGTTGATGACCGACTACCGAATCGAGGCTGATCTAAATCTTCCCCAGGTTCGTGGCGGATATGAAATTGGCTCATTATCTTCACATTGCGCCCCGGACGCTCTTCATTGCACAGGGAATGGCTACGCTCATCGGAGCTGTGGTGCAGTGTGGTGTGACGGTGTTCATGATCACACGGATCCACGGTGTGTGCACACCTAAAGCCGCAGGGGGATTTAGTTGTCCGCATGGAGCGGTCACCTACTCCTCCTCCTTGATCTGGGGTAAGTCCGATCTGTTCCTCACGTGGGGTACTTTTGCGCGCATGTGTTGCGCACGCACCACGTTTTTGCAAGCACATGGTCTAATCTTTCGGGTTCGACATTTTTAGGGGCCCTCGGACCCGAACGGAACTTTTCCCCGGGCCACATTTACGGCAACCTGCTATGGTTTTTCCTGGTCGGTCCGGTGGTAGTGGTCCTCACGTGGCTGTTGGGCCGGCGGTGGAAGAAGGTGAATTACCTCTCTTGGCCAGTAGCCTTTGGCGCCATGAGTTTGGTTCCTCCCGCAACAGGCATCAATTTCTCCTCTTGGTGGGTGGTCAATGTCATTTTCAATGGAATCTTAAAGCGACGGAAACCGGCCTGGTGGTCTAAGTATAGTGTGTTTACCCTTTACTCCTCCAATCTCGTTATGGTATTGTTATCAACTAACCCAACTAGATTATGTGCTTTCCGCTGCCCTCGATGCTGGAGTCGCCGTTGCGACGGTCATTATTTTCTTCTGCATTACCCTGCCTGCGGGCAAACTGAACTGGTGGGGAAACTCGGTGTATGATCAGACCACGGATGCTCATGGCACCCCATATCTACCCTTGCCTGCAGCAGGGTACTTCGGGCCTGCCAAAGGGACTTGGGAATGACACCGAATGGGTCCTCCTTTGGATGTATTGTGTAGTCAGTTACTGTCTCTAATCTACCCAGATAGATAGATGGTCGATATTGTAGGACTTGAGAGCGAGATACAGAAGATAGATTTAGTATGTACAGTATGTACTGTACTGTATATCCATAATTGATAAAGATGTTCGGGTTTGTTCTGTTTGTGTGCTAAAGCATGGACTTGGCGGAGATCCCCGACCGGCGCTAAGCGGCGCCTGGCGCAGAGCCCTTCGGCTTCCACTGCATCTTTCCCCACAGCCTCCCTCTGAGGGTGCTTCCCCAAAGCCACACCAAGCAAACATTGGTAATTGATTTAGGTTAGTTAATCTTTCCCCAACTCTCTCTCTCTCTCGCTCTCTCTCTCTCTTCTCCCTCATTCTCTCCCTCTTCCTCTCGCTCACTCGCTCCCTCTTCAACAACCACTTATCCACCAACCCAAACACTCTCCAGGATTGCAATTCTTCTCTTCAATCCTTCCCCTCTCTTCCCCAAAATAACCAAATCACAAGCAATCATTACAGGAGACATCGTTGTCGTCCCGGTATGGCCTGCGGTCCGAGCCGCCCTCCCTGGTCTGTTGCTCCTCTACTGGCACCATGACGAATCGTGACCCCGACTTTCGACATCAGCTGGGCAAATTTCGTCTCGATCCGCTGCCAGTTCCCTCCCATTCTCGTGCCCCTCCAACGAATACAGCTACTCCTGCTGCGCCTTCATACGCACTCTCGCCTTCCTTACAAACATCCCTCCCGCCTCCGCTATCCCAGCAGCGGCAGCAACAGCAACAGCAACATGCACTCCCCCCACCACACATACCTCGATCACAAGCTTCGGTCTCCCCTGTTCCTCCACCTCGCAGCAAACGAGTCTCGACTGCCTGCGACTTCTGTCGCAAGAGAAAGAAGAAATGTGATTTCAGATACCCCAATTGTTCTGCCTGCACGCGCGCCGGCGTTCGTTGTACCATCCCCCCACCGGGTCCTCAAGTCGCCGCAGCCTCCGTGCCCCGTGATCAATTGGAAACTTTACAGAACAGGGTCCGATGGTTGGAGGAGGTCATACGCCGCAAGACGGGTATCTCGGTCGCGGAACGACCTACAGGGGCCCAATTGGACGGGGAGGCCGATCCGGACTGGTGGTATCAGGTCCCCGCCATGATGATGGCGCGCGAGGCTCCCACGCGCTCCATCACCGCGACCACCACCCCTACAGCAGCGGCCGCATCTAGCAGCGGTTCGCCGCCAAACTCTTCTACCGTGGGTACAGAGTTACCCAACGTGGGCGAGATTTTCAGGGACCAGTTGGAACACCGCCGCCCTTCAGTTGCCCGAGCCGTTGCGTCTGCTCCCCGGGTGGTTCGGCTTCCCTCGTTGGATGAAGCGGAGCGAGTCGCTTCCCAGTACTTCGATAGCATGGGCTATCAGTACCCTTTCCTCAATCGCACGGAGTTCTTCGCGAACATGCGCCGCATCTATGCAGGCGAGGTTCCTGCTCCCGAAGTCCATAACTCGTATCACATCACCATTGCGACCGCCCTGTTGATCGGATCGGCTGACAGCTCCAAAGCTGTGGAATTCTATCAGGCTGGCGCTGAGACCCTCTCGACGGCGCTACAGAACGAAGACTTGGCGGCCGTGAGAGCTTTGTTGAGCATGGCACTGTATACTATGTTCGCCACGAGTGGCCCGAGCGTATGGCATTTGCTGGGAACGGCTCTTCGCTTGGCTACCAGCTTAGGTTTACACAAAGCTCGACCCTTGGGAAATCTGGTCGACGAGGAGATGGCGAAACGAGCATTCTGGAGTCTTTATAACCTGGATCGGCTGATTGCAAGTACCCTTGGGCGGCCGTTAGGTATTGCAGACGAGGACATCTCAGTGGGTTTGCCGCGGGAGTTCAACGATGACTGGTCTGAGGCCCCGGGGGCCAGCGCCATGACCATTCCTTTGCAGGTCGTGCGTCTCCGGCGGATCTTCTCCTCTCTTTATTCTTACTGTAGGTCATATCCTCGCCTGATGAGCTCCGTTTGTTGTTTTGTGTACTTACTCTCGCAGTGTACAATAATCAGCCCCCACCACCTCCATCTGAGGTCTTAGTCACGCTTGGGCATTTTCGTCAAGAGCTGGACGAATGGCGTCGGGCTGCCCCAGTATATCCACCGGCATTGCTCTACTCGACCAGCTATTATGACTACCTTTACGCGACTACTTTGCTTCTCATGTACCGTCCAAGTCCACGAAACCCAACGCCCGATGCGGCTAGCATTGTAAGCTGCGGCGATGCTAGTATTCAGGTCCTCCGGTCGTATTGGGACAGCTACTCGGCAGGAAAGCTTAAGTGGATCTGGTTGACTCTCAGTCAGATATACTTTGCTGGGATCACCATCTTGTGGTGTTTGAATCACAACCTGCAAACCGTCCGTGAGGGTCTAGTGGCGCCGTGGCAGCCCGAAGAGCGAGCGATGCGGCGTGCCATTCAGGCCGTTATTGTTGTGTTAGAGGAGTTTGGCAAGCGTCGACCAGGAGTCGAGCGATTGGCGGAATCGTTCCGCAATCAGAGTACTACGATCTTTAGCCATTTCGCATACCAGCAGGAGCAGCAACAGCAACAACAGCAGCAACAACAGCAGCAACAACAGCAGCAACAGCAGCAGCAGCAACAACAGCAGCAACAGCAGCAGCAACAACAGCAGCAACAGCAACAACATCTCATCCAACCCCCACATCCGCCTCCACCTTTGTTGGCTCCGGAGCAGTCTCTGCCTCTTCAGCCGCAGCATGTTTTGATGGCGCCGCCGGTACCCATGGCACCGGTACTTGACGACGTTCTGTTGGTCGATGCATCCGGAATGGTGCCAGTAATCGATCCACAACTGGCAGAGCAGCTGTTCTATTCTTATGACTGGTTTCAGGAGGAGATGGCGACCTATTATACCCTATAATGTATTTGGAGCTTGGGCGTTGGTGGGGCAACTTTTTGTGTAGAATAGAGCCAGGGTTACCCCGCTAGATAACATGGAACCCCTCATTTGTTCCCTCTTTGTCATATCTTCTAACTTTTCTATCTATTATCCCCATTACCGCCGCCGTCACATCTCTCGCTATCTGATTTTCTTCGACATGGCCAAGCAGCTGGCACGAACTCAAGTCTTCCACGGCACACTAATCCATACCATCAGTTCAACGGAGCTGGTGATCCTCACCGACACGGTGATCATTGTCAACCCGACCGGCATCATCCAGGGTATCCACCCGTCCACGCCAGCCGCCACCATTTCACAACTGCTGGTGCAGCATCACGACCTGAATCCACCTACGTATCGCTTGACCATCCTTGGTCCGACTGAATTTCTCATCCCCGGCTTCATCGACACTCACACACACGCTCCACAGTGGGCCCAGCGCGGCACTGGCCGAGGCATTCCTCTCTTACAATGGCTGGAGGAGATCACGTTCCCCCACGAAGCTAAATTGGCCGACCCACACTATGCACGATGGCTCTACTCCGTCTGCGTCCGAGGGGGCCTCCAGCAGGGCGTCACGACCGCCTGTTATTATGGGTCGCGTCACGCCGAGGCGTCCGTGATTCTAGCTGAAATCTGTCTCGCTCAAGGCCAACGTGCATTGATAGGCAAATGCAACATGAATCGCCACGCCCCAGACTGGTACCGCGATAGCTCCGTTGCTGAATCGATCACAGACACGGAAACGTTCATCCGAAAAGTCCGGGATCTGGACCCTGGCCACGAGCTAGTCACTCCGGTGATCACGCCCCGATTCGCCATCAGCTGCGAGGAGCAGCTTCTCCACGAGCTGGGACAGCTCGCAGCCCGCAACCCTGACCTGCCGATTCAAACCCATTTCAACGAGTCCCGCGGCGAGGTGGAGTTTACACGCACCCTATTCCCCAATGACACGAGTGAGACGGAGCTCTACGAACGGCTGGGGCTTCTCAACGAACGCAGCATCCTCGCCCATGCCATCTACCCAGGCGAGGCGGAGATCAACCGGATGGCGCAGTTGAACTGCGGGATCGCCCACTGCCCGATCCCGAACGTGACGATGGATGTATTCATGGTGGCCCCAGTGCGAGAGTATCTGCGGCGGGATATCAAGATCGGCCTGGGGACCGACTGCGGTGGGGGGTATTCAAGCTCGATGCTGGAGGTGATGAAGGCCGCGTTTGTAGTCTCGACCGCCGGATGTACCATGACGCAGGGACGCGATGAACCGTTGACTCTCACGGAAGGGTTCTACATGGCCACCTTAGGGGGCGCGCGAGTCTGTGGGCTCGACGGAAAGGTGGGGAACTTCCTCGTTGGCAAGGAATTCGATGCGTTGCTGGTGAGGACAAAGACGGGTATCATGGCGCCGGTGGAGGAAACCGATGATGTAAGGACGGTGTTTGAGAAGTTTCTCATGACAGGCGATGACCGCAATATTATGCAGGTCTTTGTCAAAGGCAGGAGAGTTCATGTACTTTAATGTTGTGGTATATTGAGGGAAGGAGACTTGAGCAATCTCTTTCTGTCCGATGGAAACTTCATACTGTGTTGAGGTGGATGAATCTGAGCCTAGTACAAGGGTGGCCAGTGGGTGTACCGTACAGTATCTATAAATGGATCCATAAACAGGGCTGACGGAAGGGGGAAAAAGCAAGGCAGCCGGGATCTCCGCCTCAGGCATTCTCATACCCAAAACTCCCACATGCTGTTTGTTTCAACTTCAATCGACCAAGGCTGAACCTCAACTCGTCGCCCCCCCCCCCCCCCCCATTTATTTATTTCTTCCCTGTCTTTCTCTCTTCAAGGCTAATCTCTCTCTCCTTCTCTTCTAAACCTCTTTGATTCTTTCCTGCTCTCCATCTCTTTCGTTCTTTTCATTGTCTCATAAATGACCAGCTGCCACTTTTCTCTGGTCAGCCTTTTTCCTGTGCGAGAGAGAGTCTCTCTACCTACGCGTTCCTGACTGCGGCATCCGTCTTCCTCAGGCACCACCCCTCTCCCATTCGTCCACCATTTCTTTCACACGATAATCGCATCGAGTTTCATTCGTTTTTCAACTTGTTACAAATTTCTTACTTCCAGTACAGTACATATCTGGGGCTCCTCACCCACCTGCTGTTCAGCATGGCCGAAGAACCACAAGTCATGTCTATCCAGCAACGGATTGCGGCGTTGAAACATGCCCAAGCGGGTCAGACTGGAGGCGCCGAGGCCAGCGAGCCGACACTGATCCAACCCACTCCGTTGCCCATCCGCCCGGCTGCTCCTCCGAAACCCAAGACATTCAGTCTTCCCAATATCGATGAAGCTCCCGGCAGCAATGGATGGACTCACGATGTCAATGGTGAGATCCCGCCGCCTACCTACAATGAATCATTCCCTAGCCCAGTCTCACGGCCAATGCCCCCCCCCGCACCGGCCAAATCCAAGGCGCCCCCACCATTGCCCGTGCGCAAGCCTTCCGATCAGCAGGTCCAACAACGCCCTGCCCTACCACCCCGACGACCTACAAACCCCTCCCGGAAAGCCTCCCGGGAGTCGATGGCCTCAGACATATCGCGATCAACCACTACAAGTATAGGTCGAGCCACAATCACCTCCGTGGCCTCTTCCGACTCGGGAACAGGTCGCTCGCTGCCGCCCGCATGGGGCGAGGCGGAATTACCTCCCTTGCCTCCCAAACGACAACCCCAACTGCCCTCTCGACCCTCGGCTACATCTGTCAAAAGCAGTAGTAGCCTGTCTGTGCCGCAACTGCCCGCGCGCAGGGGGTCTACCCAGAGTGTCTGCTCCACCGATAGTACATATTCTCAGCCGCCCCGACCGCCTCCGCGACTCCCGTCCCGGAATAGCAGCCACAGGTCACCCAGCACCAATACGGATAATACTGCGAACGAGAGTAGACCGACCCTTCCCAACAGAAGGTTACCTCCGCCGCCTCCGTCGAACGCTGCCTTGGGTAAGCTGCAGCAGGCTGGATTCGCAGCGATCAACAGGACTACCTCTTCCGTGGAAACGAATGGTGGTCCTCCGCCGGTTCCATTAGCTTCACGCCCGTCCCCGCCAGATCTTTCTAAACTCCAAGCTAGCAAGCCTCGCTTGCCTGCTACTAGTCCAACGGCCGGGACGCCGAATGCTGCTGCTGCACAGACGGTGGCCTGTCTAAAATGTCGGGATTTCTCAGCAGCAGACGCCCACGCCGCTCAATATCCGCGTACGACTCTGCCGACTCACGATTTGGGCTGGTTGGCCAGAGAGCTGACGGCGCCTTTCCCCTCGCCCACGGACAAAGCTCGTGTCATCTTCACCTGGCTGCATCATAATGTCGATTACGACGTAGATGCCTTCTATGGTAATCGCGTGCAGCCGTCGACGCCGGCTAAGACGCTGGCTTCGGGATTAGCGGTATGTGAAGGGTATGCGGGCCTCTTTCAGGCTCTCGCGACAGAGGCAGGCCTCGAATCTCGCAAGGTTAGTGGCCACGGCAAGGGCATCGGGTATCTGGACCCCGTTCCTGGTTCAGCGCTTCCCCCGTTCAAGGGAAACCATGCCTGGAATGTGGTGCGGATTGATAATGGGCAGTGGAAGCTGATCGACACCTGCTGGGGGGCGGGATGCGTCCAGGGGGCGGGTCAGCCCTACCGAAGACAATTCAACCCGATCCATTTCATCGAGACCAATGATGAATTTGGCCTCAAGCACTTTCCTTCCAATGGAAACGACTTTTACCGGGATGACGGGCGTCCCGGAATCAGTTGGGAGGAGTACCTTATGGGCAATCCAGCCTCACCTCTGGGGGTCGCGCAGCCGTTGGTCTACTCGGATGCGGAGAAGCACAGCATTGGAGCACGCACCTATCGGCCAGCGGCCAAGGAGATTGCGGTGCAGCAGGGCGGGCCGCTGCGCTTCCAGTTCGGACTCATCTGCGAGCACTGGACTCTGGAACACCACTCGCGGGCCCAGCCCGGTCTATTCCTGTTGACGATACATGGCGCGGATGGCCGACAGGACGACCGTCTGGTTTTCACGCATTTCCGGGGCGCTAACCCCGGGGGCGGCGGAGATCTGTGGTATCTGGACGTGCCGGATGTTCGGAGTTTAGGCACCCCGGGCCAGACGGTGCAGGTAGTGGTACTCACACAGTTTGCGGATCGGAAAGATCCACGAGGTGTGACTATTACGGCGGAAGAATATCGGCGTGGTGTTGGGCGGGTGGCAATGGCGTGGGCAGGTATCGCCCAATGGACATTAGTTTGAGGAGTCCGTCAACGAGTCAGAGTGAGACCGATCATGGCATGGGACATTTGGCCCCCCCTGGAGCAACAACACCTTCCGGTTAATTAGGGCTGGTTCCAGGGGTAATTCAGGATTGGATTCTTTCGTCACAACTACAACCGACCCCGCTTGCCCAGACCTCTCGTTTGGAATTGTCATTGGGTGCCTTGTGCCATCATTACTCGAACCTTGGAAGGGTTTTGTTTTCTGGGGGAGGGGTACTGTACAAAGTACCACGGGCACATACTATATTAATTACTTCTATTCCTACAACCCAACTAATGATAATGATGACATCCGTGAGCATCTACGCGAGGTGTTCTGAGTATTATTCCCGAGTAAGCAATGGGCGCCGGTAGCCGAGCACCGGGCCCTAACAGGCAGCCTCTGGCAAACAATCCGTCCTCCCTTAAACCCCACCGAGGAAGAATTTTACCTAAGACCATAGCTCTAGTGGCAATTGTGGTTTTGGGTAGTAGGTACCTAGTAGTGGACGATTGGAGGAAAGAAGTGCAATGAGAAAATCCGCCAATCCCTGGCTCGGGGCGGGCGATTCCGTTGCGAAGAGGGTTGCGAGAAGCTGGAGCCGTTTCCCTCGGCTACCGAACCGTCATGGAGATTAATTAGTCGGGAGGGTGGGTGGATGCATGGACTCAGCCGCAACAGGGGATTCTCATTACTATGTATATATAAAGAAATAAAAAAAAAAAAAAAATTGAGCAGTGAGTGCATCAATGACGACAAGATATCACTGGGACGAACCAGTTACCGTTTAATCTGTATCTGTTTGTTGTGTTGTGTTGCGATGTGATGATCGGGATTGCTGCTGTGGAAAAGGCAGAGATTGTCGGGTAACAACTCAGGGAGTCAGGGACTAAGACCGTCTGGGGAAAGACGGGCGGGGGGCCGAGACCCTTGATGCCCGATTCGGCAGGCCTTCGAACAATCATGTGCTCCGCTCCGGGGAAGAATTCGGGGATTGTCCGGGCCTCCACAATCCCTCCATCTCCCTCCATCCCATCAAGTCCTCCCAATCAGCCGATGTTTTCCTTCTCTTCCCCGGCCTTGTTTTCCCCCGAACAACAGATGATTCCAGAATATACCGAACAGAAAGGATCCTTCCCTCAGTCAGGCCATCGACGTCCTGTACAGAAGGATCCCAATATGCATTCCCGACCAGATAGTCCCAAGCAATAATCGGTGAGAGGGTCATCGTCACACAGCATCGCACAGCCGACTTGGCGGCTGCTGCTGCTGCTGCTGCTTGCTTGCTGCATTATGCATCCCCCGGCCACCGTCTCTTTCACTGCACCGTGTGTTGGTGTTGTCGTTGTCGAGTCCATCACCGGGATAGGTAGCAAGCAATGCCGATCCATCCCGATTAATTCCCACTTGGACCTCCCCCCCCTCTTCTTTTTCGCGCGGTTTCGCAATTCTCTCCCGTGCGCCCATTGATAATTGCCCATGATTATGGGGCCCGCTGGGGCATGAAGTTTTGATTGGGGTCCCCAGATCCCCTCCTCTCTTCCCCCTCCTCCTCCACGGCTGACTTCGGATGCCCGTTCTCGGGTCAGGGTTTTTTCCCTGGCCAGCTTGGGAGGAGGATTTGATTACCTCTCGTGCGGAGCAAACGGGATACCACCACGGGCCAGAAAAGGCTTTTTCATTTACCACGGTTTCGGCTCAATTGCCCCCTTAGGGTCACATTCGGCCCTCTCCGGGTGATTCTGCATGACGGGTACGGACCAATTGTTCAGATTCCCTCTGCTTCCTGTTTGTTGTTCCCCTTTCCTACTCATCCGGGTGGTCCAGTACATCCTCGGAATTGGCGGTCCTCATCGCACGGCCAATCTTGTGTGCCAACTAAAATCAAATCGTTGACGTCTCGGTTAGTTTCTCCACGCCATGTGCTGTGTGCTACGCTTCTTGCCCCAGAATGTTGGGCCATCTGACACACCCGGCTTGACCCAGGTTCAGGTTTTGTCTCGCGCGTCTCGGCCAGCCGATGGAATTGACCCACGGCTTCCTTCCATGTCAGCCATCCGGGCTGCATGGCATCCCTCCAATCCTCGCCATAGGACAGATACCCTTAGCTTCTTGGGGCTAAACCACATATGCGTCCTCGCTCCGCCAGGGTTCAGGCGACGCCGCAACAGAATGTATTAATTTTTCTGTTGCGCTAATCACCTCGTCTACCATAATGGGTGGAGACCCTCTTCTCTCTCTCCCCCCTCCATGGAAGGACAAGTCGGGTCGGAACAGCGCGCCCTAAGGTGTAGCGGTTGAAACCGGTCGTGATGGCTTGTCTTTCGCTTGTCCAGGTTATGGCGGATGCTTGGTTGGGCCACTTACGTAGTGGCGAGCATTCAATTTAATTTATTTTTTTTTTCTCTCTATCTTCGTCTCTCGTGGCCCCATCCACTTCTCGCGCGCGCGTGGGTGATGCTCTCCAGGCAGGACCCAGCAGTTTAAATTCCCCGTCTTTTCCCCAGTTTTCTCCTCTGTTCGTTCGTTCCCCTGATCGGTGGTGTCCCCTTCTTCCCTTTCCTAGATAGACGGTGCTCAACACTCTCCCCCGTGTGTGGAGTCTATCTTCCATCATGCAGAAGATCGGCAACATCTACTTCATTTCGGCCATCGCCGTTATCGGCGGTGGTCTTTTCGGTTTCGATATTTCGTCCATGTCTGCTATTATTAGCACGCAAACCTATCTCTGCTATTTCAACCAAGGAGGCGTTACATACGAGAATGGTGAAAAGAAATGTTCCGGTCCCTCTGCCGATGTCCAGGGCGGTATCACTGCCTCCATGGCGGGTGGTTCCTGGCTGGGTGCTTTGATTTCTGGCTTCATTTCGGATAGATTCGGTCGTAAGACTGCCATTCAGGTCGGTTCGATTATCTGGTATGTTGCCTCGGATGTTTGCTTGATCTTTCGGTCCCTGATGATGGCGGTATAGGTGCATTGGTTCCATCATTGTGTGTGCAGCCCAGAACATTCCCATGCTGGTTGTTGGCCGTATCATCAACGGTCTCAGCGTTGGTATTTGTTCCGCTCAGGTGCCCGTCTATATCTCTGAGATTGTGAGTCTATCCCGGTGGTTCCCTGCTTTGTGGCCTGGTAGACTAATTGCGTGCATAGGCTCCGCCAACCAAGCGTGGACGTGTGGTCGGTCTGCAGCAGTGGGCTATCACCTGGGGTATCTTGATCATGTTCTAGTAAGTCAACTGAGCTTTGGCTGTCTACCACGACCATGCTGACGGTCTCCACCAGCATCTCCTATGGTTGCAGCTTCATCAAGGGTACTGCTGCCTTCCGCATTCCCTGGGGCCTGCAGATGATCCCCGCGGTTCTGCTCTTCCTCGGTCTGATGCTGCTCCCCGAGTCTCCCCGTTGGTTGGCTCGTAAGGATCGCTGGGAAGAGTGCCACGCCGTGCTGACCCTGGTGCACGGCCACGGTGACCCCAACTCCCCCTTCGTCCAGCGCGAGTTCGAGGAAATTAAGAGCATCTGTGAATTCGAGCGCGCCAATGCCGACGTCACATACCTCGAGCTCTTCAAGCCCAATATGATCAACCGCACTCACGTCGGTATCTTCACTCAGATCTGGTCTCAACTTACCGGGTATGTCCAAAGAATCAGTTTCTCAATCGCAGCGAGCTAACAGACTGATGCTTCACAGAATGAACGTCATGATGTACTACATCACCTACATCTTCGCGATGGCCGGCATGACCGGCAACAACAACCTCACCTCCTCCTCCATCCAATACGTGATCAACGTCATCACCACCATCCCGGCCTTGATTTGGGGAGACCGCTGGGGCCGTCGTCCGACTTTCCTGGTCGGCTCCATCCTGATGATGATCTTCCTCTACGCCAACGCCGGTCTGATGGCCACGTACGGTCGCCCCGCACCCCCCGGTGGTCTCGACGGCGTCGAGGCCGAGTCGTGGATCATCGAGGGCGCCCCCAGCAAGGGCGTCATCGCCTGCACCTACCTCTTCGTGGCCTCGTACGCGGTCTCCTTCGGCCCGGCCTCCTGGGTCTACCCGCCCGAGCTCTTCCCGCTGCGGGTGCGCGGCAAGGCGGTGGCGCTGTGCACCTCCTTCAACTGGGCCTTCAACTTCGCGCTCTCCTACTTCGTGCCGCCCGCCTTCGTCAACATCAAGTGGGAGGTCTATGTGTTGTTCGGCGTCTTCTGCACTGCCATGACCATCCACATCTTCTTCATGTTCCCCGAGACCACGGGTAAGACCCTCGAGGAGGTCGAAGCCATCTTCACCGACCCCAACGGTATCCCGTACATCGGCACTCCCGCCTGGAAGACCCGCAACGAGTTCAAGCACGGGGCCATGGTCGAGGAGGTGGGCTTCGACGAGGAGAAGCGCGCCGGCGGCGAGGTCGTCCACGCCGAGACTGCGGAACCCAAAGTTTGAGGGTTCTTGTCAGGATGAGGCGTCGATGTGTGATGGGTTCGATTGTATGAGGGTTGAGCGATGTTGGGGGCGGGGAGGCACGACTGATGAATGTGGGATGAGGGATGAAAGATGATTGATTTGCATTTGGGTTGCAAAAAGAGATACCATACCATGCGTTTGTCACGGTTCTATATACTTTAATTTTCAACTTACTGTCTGTGTGTGTGTGCGTGTGTGTAGTACATACGATGAATGGTGTGAGATACGGAGAGAATTGAGAAGAGATAATAATCTCCAAAATACTGCTTTGCATCTTGAGATCACCGCTTGCTCTGCGCACAGATATTCCAAGATACCACCAGGAGGAGCGAGTCGTTGCTTTGAGAGGTTAATATAAGATCTCGTGCCTACGGCGTGGTGATGAGAGCGAGGGAGGTCCCGTCGGATGGAGATTTTCCTAAGTATGTCGCCGGAAGCTCTGAGATCTGAGTACTGTATTGTACCTTCTTGTCGCCTGGGCCCTGGTCTTGTGCAGGCAGCTCCTCTCACCGGCCGCTGCACTCTACCTGAACTCAACTTATCTCTCTCTCTCTCTCTCTCTCTCTCTCTCTCTCTCTCTCCCCCAACACCATCGCATCCTAAGCTTCTCAACACCAAGGTGTGTGCCCTTCTACAAGGCAGACCGGTGCAATCATCATCGAGAGTTGACGGGAAGGGCGGGTGAAGTACACCCTGAATCTCATGAGGAACAGGATCAACGCCGGTAGAGAGATTTCTTAAGAACAACACTATACGGCCTTGGGGTAATCGCGAACACTCATCGGATTCTCATTGGTTTCAAAACTCTTCTTCACAAGAAGAGGGGAGAAGTTTGGCGCCAGACCGAAACCAAGTTCTTAGCCGGTATCGGCTCCTCTCGGGGTGGATGTGTGTGGCAGCGGTCGATTCCAGTTGGCATTCGGTTCTACTAACATACAGGCCTACCCTAGGAATGGTCCGGTCCTAGAAATTTGGGACCGGGACCGGACTATACAGTCTAAAGTCCGTAGTCTTTGTTTATATTATCCAGGACTATGCTATACTATAGTCCTCTGTAGTTCTTTTTAGGTTATATATATGTTGCAGACGATGCAGATCCAGTGCACCCGTTCCCACCGGTTTTACCCATCTGACCTGACCTGCCTTACCAGCCCGGCCCCTTACTGCCTTTCCTAACCGCCCGAGTTATATGTGATGCCTAATCTGCCTATGATCCTGTTTGTAGCGTTTCAAGCTACAGGTTGTCTATCAACCTAAGAATAGCCTAACAGAGTAGCTAGCAGAGAATCAAGAAAAAAAAAACTAATTATCAAAATACTTCTAGCTAGACCTGTTATTTTGACTACCCCGCCCAGCCCGCACCTTGACAATACAGAGACACCTGCAGTTACAATATTAGAATATTAGACACAAAGACTTGTTGGTAACTTGCAATGTAATTTTTGCATGATCAGTAGGCTAAAGCAGTCTAGAGTTTGAAAATAACTAATGCCAGTATATTTATAAAGGAAGCTGAGCTCTATCCTAGGGCGTTGGTTCTATAATAGCTTAGTACTTACTTACAGTAGCCAGAGCGTCCTAGTGCCGCTTATATGAATCAGCAAGCTTTCAACATCTGGCCAGCTCACAAACCCTCACTCGACACACCAGCAGCTCAGAGGATGAAGGTAGTCGGCCAATGAAAGCACTTTTTTTGCGCGAGTTGGATATATATCCATCTCGACCTACAAACTGAGGCACCATATATAAGCCCAATCAAGCATAGAGCTGACCCAACCTCGGCGCCGTCACTTCCATCGAGGTAAACGAACAATGCGGATATCCTGCCATCGTCCCATCATCCCGCGCGGCAGGAGCGGTGGCCCCCGTCGCCCCCGCACCCTCCTCCTCCTCCTCCTCCTCCTCCTCCTCCACCAGCCTCTCCTCGACTCTCCGCTTGTCATACCGCGCCACGGTGCCGTCAGGATCATGGGAAACCTCCCCCCACATCACCGGCTTCTCCGCCGCGCCCGCCTCGCCCTCCGCCGGATGGCACAGCGCGGCCAGAACCAGACTACACCCCCCGGCCAGCGGCATGCGGGTCTCAAACCGCCGGAACCCGAGCCCCACCACCACCACCATCATCCCCGCAAGACCGACCCAGATGGTGATGAAGATCGCCAACGGGGAGTAGGCGCACCCGCGCAGCTCCTCAGAGATGAGCCGCTGGGCGAGATCGACCCGCCGGACGTATACGAAGAAGAAGCTCTGGGAGAGAAGCCAGTGGAGCGCGGCGGATCCCGCCAGGAGCGGGATGCTGTACCGGTAGGGCAGAGTCAGGTAGTAGGTGGAGCGTTGTTGGCCCCGGGGCCAGGAGCAGCGGAGGGCGCGGCGGCGCGTCGCGTAGCGCTGGAGCTCGGCGTCCAGCAGCATGCCGGTCACGGCCCCGTTGGTGAGGAAGTATAGCACGGACAGGCCGAGTTGCGGGGTGTTGGCGAACAGGATCAGGGCGACGATGTTGGTGGTGTTCGTGTTGGCGACATAGGACCCCGAGTACTGGCTGAAGCCGATGGACATGGCTTCGTGGAACGGGTCGGAGCCGATGCCGTGGAAGAGGAGGGCGAAGCTGATTGCGAGGCATGATGCGTAGCTGGAGTTGGGGTGAGTAGCAATAAAACGTTTGGGATGGGGCTTGAAGTGAGTAGGAAGAAGAGTAGGGGAATGAAGTCGATTGCACCGCCGCGAGGACTCACCAGAATAGAAGTATTATCCGGCGAGGCCAGCTCACGGCTTGATACCACCTCTGGCGCGGGGTGACCTGCTTTGGGCGAGGGTCAATGGGGTTTTGCGATCCGTATGCAGATAGTAGGATGTTGTCTGACGGGTGATGCCGGAATTCTGCGCTCTGGCCAGGGCTGCCGCTGGAGGGTTTAGAGCTTTGGGTGGCGCTTGGTGCTGGCGCCAAGTCTCCCTGGTGACGACCGAGAGGAAGGGCAGAGTAGCCCCGGAGTCGCAGCCCTTCGGCGACCTCTGCGCGAGAGAGCAGGCATTGACCACGAGTTGTTGGATCGGGTCGCGTGAGGAACGAAGCCAGCGCGTCGCCTACAGTCAGGAACAGATCCCTCCGCCTGACGCCCACGGATAGTATCATGCAGCTCAATTTGATCGCATTACAAATGATGACGGCAATGGCAATCGGGGGACTGAAGAGCAGCTGGCAGCGCTGTCTGCTTTCATCCATCAGGCAATGCAGAACAGGAACGTCGGGGTATAGTCCTATGTCCAAGTCGCCCTCTTTGAAGAATTCGAAGGTGGTTGCAGCTGCCCAGGAGCTGTTCTGCCAGTGTGAGGGGGTGTTTAAATACTCGCGCAGAGCTGGTTGGGTCGGATTGTATTGCGAATTGTAACGCAACAGACTCATCATGTCAACTTCCAAGGCAGTGCTTGTGTTGCTGCTGTTGAAGGGGTTCCAGAGGCTTTCGAAGGAAGCATCGGCAAAGGTGAATTGATAGGAGTTCCCGTTGGCGACGGTGGAGTAATTCCACACGCGATAGCGCCAGTAGACAGGCTCCACTGGGTAGTAGTTGTGGTCGGAGGGGTATAGTGCCCCGTCTACCCACAGACTGCTTGTGTTGTGAAAGTACTTCCTCTCCGCGACATAGACCAGGGTACTGTACAATGTATCATCCGCCCGCTGGGCCCAGCACTCCTTGTCCGTCAAGTTGGTGAAGGTTCCATCGAAAATCCGCTGTTGTACAACCGCGGGATCGAGTCCCACTCGGGCCCGGAAGCTCTCGCGGCTCGCCGTGTCATCGACCAAGGCCTCGGTCGAGGAGAGGTCGTGTGGGATCAGGAGGTTTCCGGACTCAAGCTCTGCAATGGACGAGAAGATGACCGAGTTGTATATCATATGGATCGGAGTGGAACTGAGCAGCAGGAGCCCCCACAAGACCTTCCTTTTGGGGCTCATGACTGCAAAGTTGCGGAAGCTGAAACTTCCTACCGTCACCCAGCGTGAGCGTGCGTGGGCCCGGTCGATATCCGAGCGAGAGGGTGCACCCAGGCACTGCATGACGTAGCTGCTGGCCCCGAGTAGGATTGTTCCCAGGACGTTGATCACTACATGTAGGCCCGTCGCGGAGTGGCTGGCCAGCGAGCATTGTCCCGTGTACAGCACCACCATCTGGAATTGACCCCGGTTGCTCGATTGCCGATAGGCGAATATAAGTGCCACCATGAGCAGTATAGAGTTGAGGGCTAGGATTGTCGCAGTGATCCAGGTGCAGATGACGGCTCCCTTGATCCACTCTCGCCCTACTCGTCCTTCTTCGAGGCCTTGCGAAAGACCGTGCGGAAGCCAGGTCTTCCATCGGGGCTGTTTGTCTCGCAGTGTGTTGTTGCTTGATGATAATGGAACCGTCGTATACCGGAACTGATCCCACCAGGTAGCAAGGAGCCCGGGGCCGCCTTCCCGGGTCATGTCGCTACCGGTACCCATGGTATGAGCCTTGACCTTGACGCCAGACGCCTGTGCTTATGCAGCAAAAGAAAATCCATGGCCAAGGAAGCTGGTGCTGATTCGGGGACTTTTTAAGAAGTGCAAGCATGAGAGAGATCATCCAGATTGCCGTGGGCCTGGCGGATGGCGCTATCGCGCCGGTTCCTTTTAGTGAATCTGACTGCATAACAACAAGACCTCACGCCAAATCAATGACCACGAAAGATTACAACTAAAGTGCCAAAGTGGACTACTTTGAATAGGTGGCCTCAGCCGCATTATCATCATCATCATGCTAGCACTCAATAGGCTGCTTCGTCTGCTTTCTTGACCAGGCTAATCCCGTTGCACGATATATGCTACTAAACAATGCAATTCCTGGCACCGATTCTTAGAGACTTACTAAGCTCGAGGCATACACAACATTCACTTCAGATCCAGCCCAGGGAACAGTACAGTGCAACTTCGGCATATTGACCGCATCTAGAACAGCTAACCTAGTCATAGATAAGATCATCTAGCGCTAGGTATCCATTCCATGTAGTTCCCCACAGAACAAGGTTGCCTCCAGACCCCGCCCGCCATTGGTATGTGTCAAAAACCCGTCTCACCCCTAGGCAGTGCACCTCATCTCAGCCACTCTAATGACCGGTGGAGAAGGCCGTGAGTCGGTGTTCTGGCTCAGCTCAGCATGAGGTAGGTAGTAAGTACAGGTGAGCTCTCGACAGAAAAAAGAAACCCTCTGATTTGTGGAGTAATGCTCGACACCTGCAGCCCATAGCGTGGCGTCAACAGAGACTTATCGCGGTATAGCATTGCAGCCTGGAGTCAGCCTTTTTTGCGCTAGTATAATCCCACCTGAAAGACCGGAGATGCTTCTGTTTAGTTATTCAGTTGATGAAAAGGTGAAGACTTGTTGTTGACTGCCTCCCTGATCTACATCTACATTAATCTTAGGTACTCCTGCTTCTAGATATAGCAGCTGATACAGGAAGACTCTTGTGACATGCTCAGTTATGGCTCATAGCTATAAATGACCAAGATCACTGCTCAATTGCACGAGGATAATCCGCGACCTCCCTCCGAAACATACCATCATCCACAAGCTGGTTAGCAGACTCAATGATCCATGTTTGGCAGTTTCTCTGAGTGATTTTCTTGCCAAAGGCATTAAACGGCATGAGACTTAGGGTTGATACAATGCTGTCAGAGGATTCAGCGAAGCATCAGTCCTCAGACTATCAAAGACTTACATTCCCACCAGTAGTATTAAAGCTCTTCTCCGGAGCTTTGACGTTGTGAACACTTTCTTTTGCACGGACACACCCGAGAATGATCTAGTTTATACTCTCCATTGTTGGGCATGGTCTTTTGATCAAAAAGCTCACCGCCAACCCACTGAAGAGGGACTATCTCTGTAGAAATGTTCAGAATCGTCCGCAGATCACGGGGCGCGTTTGATTTCAAGCACAAACCCGTTCTTCGCATCGCCGGTCGCGTGAATCCTGACTCCCAGCTGAGGATCGGCGCTGCTCATGTCGAGCTTCAATGCAGACTGACACAATCTTATGGGAAAGGGAGGGTGTCTTTTAGTATATTGTATATATTCCTATCAAAGGATATTGATTAGCAGCAAAAAGGATTTCAACTTTACTGTAAATAGGACAGCAGTTAGTAGCAGCCCTATAAAATCTAAAGATCCTTTATATGTTATTGGCATAGATTTCTAAACCCTGTAGCTAAGTATATAGACCGCAATAAAAACTATAGCTTCTATACACTTTATCCGGGTAAGTCACAGTTGTTCACACGGCAAGTAGTAAATCTCCCGAATAGTATAGTACTGGGGGATATATTTCGGTACTGTTATAAGGGGGCTCCACTCAACTGGTAGAATTAGGGTTATTTTTTAAACTTATACAGACACAGTTGTAACGATTACAGGCAAGGCCCGCAAGCCACAAAATGGTAGAGGCCAACCTGCGCTGGTCGTCCCGGCTAGTAACTATATAGAGATTGCAGTCGTTAAATAAACATCCCCCTAAACAGTTAGAGTACTTGAATTCATTGTCTGTTCAGAAGTTCCATAATAGCAAGGATATCCGTCGATCAAGGTGCAACAGTTCCTAAAAGTGGCTCGATCTCGTGATTGATCCCGAGGTCCTGAGTAGTCCAGTTCTTGCATTCACATAGTTTCGAATCTAGCGACATCGCCTGCTTTTTGGGTTTGGCGTAATCTCCTACTACCTACTCGTAGAACCGAGTAGCTACCTTATGTCTTCCTAGTCGCACTTCGCTTAAGCACTTGGTTCAATCCGTGCCGGTCGGGTATCTAGAATATCGGCATAGCATTACTTCAATTCGGATAGTGCCTCCCGATTCTCAATTTGGAGGCAAACCGTGGTCTCGGTGCTTTGAGCAATGCGTGGGCGATAAGACGGCGCGTATTTGAGACTCCTCGGCGTCCTGCAGTGATAATAGTCGGGTGCTGCATGTGAGCGAGACACCGGAAGTCTTGGACTCTGTCTTGTATAAAGGTGGTCCCTTCCTATATATTTCTATATCCCAGGTGCATTGCTGCCCATCTAGAAGCCGGGTTGTGCGAGTGCGTTCTACGAGCATCAGCTTATCATGACACCCACCCTTGCCAGCGACGGCGGGAGCAGCATCATCGGAGTAGACAACGCGATGGGGTCGCTGGTCGCTCAGCGGAGTGGCGGCAGTCCCGACACAGTGCTCAATCTCATGCTGACGGGGTGGCACAGGCAATTGCCGGGATGGAAGAGGTCATTGCAATCCTAATCGCGATGCTCTAATCGCGATGGTTCTCTTCATGGTTCCCGTCCCTTCTGCCACCACCTCGCTGACGATTTTGCGCCGCGATGTAGCAATCCGCTCCCAGGAGATGATTCCCTTGGGTATAACGGCTGGAGCAACATCGCCCGGATCAATCCGGATTGCATTGCGGTCTATGCGTTCCCGCTGGTGGTCCAACCCGTTCAGGTTGATGGTGACGGTGATGGCAGTGCTGCTGCTGCTGCTGCTGCTGCTGTTTTCTGCATCGCCCTCTCCGAGCGAATGCTTGCTATCCCCTGGGGCGCGCCTTCATTGCCCGTCCAAGGCGAGTGTTATATCCACAATTCCTCCAGGGCCATCTTCTTCGGCGGCAACACATGCCTCTATAGCCAGCGCGTCATCGCGGACATGTGTGTGCATCTCGAATAGTTGATGGTGCGGCTGAGTGGTGCGAATGCTGCTACTGAATCCGTGGGTGAGTTTTATGCAGAGATCGCCCAAGGAAAAGAAAAAGTACAACATACTCACCGTCTAAGAGGGCATAATAAAGGTGATTTGGGTCTTGATTCCGGAAGTACTCAGTCCTAGGCTCGGTGCATAAAAATAGATAAACATACAACAGAAGGGATTCGCTGGTGGTCACCCACCCAACTACTAACCTCCCGGCGTGTGGCTTGAGTACGGCTGAGCGGACGGGAAGCCCTATTTTCCACACCCTGTGGTCGTATGTGGCAGATGAACACGTAATTGTTATTCTTGTACAGCTAGGGTTTTTAATCCTTCGTGTGGTTGGTTCGTCGTCGGGGTCTGAGTTGACCTGCGCAGATGTATGGGCGTCAGAAGGCTTGCAGGAACTCAAGACTTGGTATTGCGTATGCAGCACAAACGCATCATCTATGTAGGGTTCTAGACGAAGAGACCAGCAGAAGTAGTTGTTCATGGAAACCTAGGGCGGAATATTGATGGTGTGTGCCTCCTCCGCCGGGTATTCCTCCGACACGCTTGATAGGGTATGGAGACAACACGAACTTCGTTGGGGATTGGCCTCATAGGGCTTTAAACGGGGAGACACTACAGGGAATCTCGCTGTACCTCGCCTTTCGTGGTGGGCATATGGAGAAGGCAACCCTGGTGATAAAGACTGGTTGTTGGGTCGGGAACGAAAATAGAATGAAGATACAAAAAGAAAAAAAAGTATGAGCCCAGCCCGGCTCGATCAGGCAACCTTACGATCTGGAGTCGTACGCGCTACCAATTGCGCCATAGGCCCATGTCGGGTGCTTGTTTTTGCTTTACAGCAATTATGGAAATATTGGCAGAGATGTGCATGGGGCAGGTGTTGCGGTGATCGTACTTGACGCCGGTGGTTGTCATTGTAAGGTAATCCACGGTGTATGTGTGCGGACAGGTGTCGGGACTTCTCGAAGACGGACTTGGAGAGGGGTGGGGAGTGGTCACGTTGCTGGGTCGCTTTTGCTGGATCTGGTGCCTCTGTATATATCTGGTTGGTGCGGGGGTAGGGAAGATACGTACTATTAGAGAGGGAGACGGGTTAGGAAGAAGATGCTGGATTTTGGCACCGTGTCAATGCTACTTAGTAGTCATCAAATCAGGGATACTGATGTATTGGCGGTACTGGCCGAACATTACGGTTCCCTGGTGTAGGCGATGCCAGCCTAGGCTGCCAATCCCCAGAGTGCGCAGCTGTCACAGCTAGAACGCAATCCTTGACGCAAATTTCGGCCACATTATTGGGGTTGGCTTTGCTCTCCCCTCCAGACCTGCCTGTCCCCTCGAGTTAGTGTCTGCATCTGACAACATCGCATATATGTGATGCTCAGAGAACATTCCTCCCACCAGAAGCATAAGCATCCCCATAAGTCCAGACTATGGTTACACGATCCGAGACCAGTGCTTCATCATAGCCGGAAAACCCCCAGAGAAACACGGAATCCTCATTGAATAGTCCATAGGCTACCGTAAGACCCAGAAAATATGGACCGACCCCCCAGCTTGCAATCAAGCAAAGGGGAGCGTTCGTGGGACGGAAGTGGGGCTGGATTCCGACAACCTTCCGTCAGCCCAGGGCGGGTGGCTTTGCTCAACCTTTTTGTTTGGATGGAAAGTAATTCTCAAGATCCTGAGTGAAATATGGAGGTCTTTGAGCAAGGTATTGATTAGCAAAGAGCACCGGTAACGAGATTGAGAGCATCATACAGCCACCGCGAACGTCAACGCACGGATGCGACATGAGCCTGCTTGAGGCGAACGGTGCCGTAGACCTCCTTCCTCGTGTCTGTCCCTGGCCTACCTGGAGTACCTCACGTGTGTGGACCCTTGATGTCCGTAGCCCGTGCCCGCTATAGGGGAAAGGTGGATGAAGTTGTGTTGACAGGATGACGAAGAGTAGAGGTGCTTGGTCTTGTTTATTTTTGGGTCATATTATACTTATTATAAAGTCATTGCATAGAATGGGCCTATGGCGCAATTGGTAGCGCGTACGACTCCAGATCGTAAGGTTGCCTGATCGAGCCGGGCTGGGCTCATCCATTCTTTTTTTATTGTTCTTGTCTCAATATGCCCCACCGTTTCTTGCACCTGAGCTTACACAACTGTGTCTTTTTTTTAAATAGCGCCTCAACAAGGACTGCTAGACAGTGTCACCAGCTCGCATCCGAAGCAGGCCAGACAGCCGAGTGTATCCATGATACCAACAACATGATGATCCCTCAAGCGATCAAGAAGATCTCCACCTCGGCAGGACTCTATACTCCATCTCCAACCCCAAAAACTATAACGAACCAGAACTATAACACCAAATACAATACAGCCAACCAGATCCCCAATCCATATCAAAATACCCCCGGATCCCTCCCTCGCACAGAAAGCCGAAATCCCCCAAAAGCAACGATGACGATGCCTGCATGGTCTAGACCTACAACCCCGCAACTGACAGGGAGGACAAAGATCCAGATAAAGGAAGCATACAATCCACCCTTTCACCCACTCACTCACACCCCCTCCTCAATCCCAAAACCATAATGACAGCCACCCCGCGCCTCGCCAACAAAATCGCCATCGTAACCGGCGCCTCCTCCGGCCTGGGCCGCGCCATCTCAATCCGGTACGCCCGCGAAGGCGCAAAACTCATCTGCGCGGACCTCACCCCGACCGCGCGCGCGCAAGTCCCCTCCGAGACCGAGATCGCGACGCATGACCTGATCGTGCAGGGCGGCGGAGAAGCCGTGTTTGTGAAGACGGACGTCGGGGATGCGGGGGATATGGAGCGGTTGGTGCAGACGGCTGTGGAGGTGTTTGGGCGGTTGGATATGTCAGTCTTCCCCTCAGAATAATAAGCACAAGGCTCATCAGCGAGTATGGCCAAAAGCTAATGTGGCTGCCAAGTCTCGTCAACAATGCCGGAATTGCCATCGAAGCAAGAACGCCCGCCGTGTGCCATCTGACCGAGGAGGAGGTGTGGGATGCCACGATGCGCGTGAACAGCAAGTCCGTCTTCCTCGGGTGTAAGTACGCGACGGCCCAGATGTTGAAGCAGGAGCCGCATCAGCCTTCCGGGGATCGCGGGTGGATTATTAATATGTCGTCGATTATGGGGATCGTAGCGGGGTTGGAGAATGGTGGGTGTTGTCTTTTTCTTCCTTTTCTTGCGTGGTCATGGTGGTGGTTAGATCGGACAGATGAAAAGAAAGTTAACTTTTTTCTCGATAGTCTCCTATTGTGCTTCGAAAGGCGCGGTGAGCAATCTTACGAGACAGGTGGCGCTGGACTACGCCCCCCATAGGATCCATGTCAATGCCATTTGTCCTGGTTGTAAGTAGCGAGCCCTCGAGAGGGGGGATATCAGAGGCTGAAGACTTGTGTGCCTGGCTGATGGCTTCAATGTAGACACTCAGACGGCTATCTTCCAAGAAACAACATCCTACATGACACCCCTGGAGGATCTGCAGCAGCGGCACCCGTTCAAGGGACCTGGGATGCCGGATGATATTGCTCGGATGGCAGTGGTGTTGGCCAGTGAGGATGCCAGTTGGGTGACTGGGATTCTTCTGCCTGTGGATGGCGGTTATACTGCCCGTTAGGATTAATTCCACATTCTTCAAGAGGCTCAAGAAGAGACGAGATTCAGAAGGCCGGTGAGAACTGACTGAAGAGTTGATAAATCCATGAGTGAAAAGATATGTGGTTGTCTGGATCTAGCTATGCTACTTTGAAGAGAAAGAAATAAATGAAACCATACATGCTTGCCATTGTTGATCCGTCAGCTGAGGTATCAATGCAACATTGAATATCATTCATAAATCATATAATTGATTAAATATTAAGCTTATTTAGTATAAAGAAACGTAATCTATAGTCAAGTCCCATAGTAGCTTCCATCATGACTATTTCGCCGTAAACCGGCTCCGAGCTCTCAAAGCCGCCCCGTAGTAGTACAGCGCAAACAACCCGCCAATGCAGCCCACCGTCAACCCGGCCAGCAGACTCACTCCCTGTCCCACCCCAAGATTCAAATAGAGCGGGCGGGCAAATAGCACGGCGCCGCAAGCGAGCGCACTGCGCATGAAGTCGTTACCGGCGAACAGACTCGCCGCATACTGCGGGTACGTCATCGGAATGTAGATGAAGATGCACTGGATCAGAGTGAAGATTCCAATAGTGTATATCAGGATCCCGACCACGGATACAATCCAGTGGACCGAGGCCCGCGAGGTCCACCCGAAGATGAACAGGCCGATCGGCGGGAGAAAGGAGGCGAATAGGGCGGGGATGAGTCGGCGTTCTGGGGCGCCGGGCCCGCGGGTCCGGATCTCGGGTTCGAAGACTTTGTACAGGTACAAGAAGTAGAGTGGCACGGCGATAGCGAGGGCCACGGCGATGCTCAGGAAGACGAGACCCATCTCGCCGAGGTTGAAGTGGTAGATGTCAATGTAGACGATCGGGAAGACCTCGAAGAACGAGTAGTAGATCCCGTAGATCAGACTGGTGTAGACGTTGAAGAAGAGGATCGCTGGGTCGAGGAACACGATTTGGAACGGCCGATACAGCGCTTCCATCGCCACGGCGGTGACGGTCAATTGCTTCTGCTTGATTTCCGACTGCGAGCGCAGCTTGTCATTGTCGGTCAGCCTGCGCAGGCGGCGCGCGCGCTGAAGGAGAATGGCATCTGGGAATGTTTCAGGCAGGCAGAAGAACATGAGGACGAGGATTGGGGCCGAGAGCCAGACGGTTTCCCAGAGGGACCACCGCCAGCCCTTGACGGGGACGCTGAAGCCCGAGATCAGAGGACCCAGGGCGGGACCCAGAGTCGCAAAGGCCGCCCAGGTGGTGAGTCCATAAGGCAATTTCAAGAGGCTATACACATCGCCGATACTGGCGCCCCCAGTCGCCAGACATGGGCTGCCAAAGAAGCCCTGCAGGAAACGAAGGACCAGAAGACCTCCAAATGTGTCGACCACCGCGGCGCCGATGGTGAAGATGACAAAAAGCGCGAAGGTGATGATGTACGGCGGATTGCGGCCGACGCTAGGGATCTCGCTGATCGGAGAGAAGATCAGCGGTCCGATCCCGTATCCCAGGACGTACAGAGCCAACCCCAGAGATGCGGCGGTTGCCGAGACGCCAAAACGGGTTTGGATCTCCGGAGCGCTGGGCGTATAGATCGACGAGCCCAGGTATACAGCAAAAGTGTATAGGTAAATTTGAGTCACCACGAACAGCTTCTTGCCGGAGGACCAATTCTGCGGGTTGGCCGGATCATGAGTCGTGTACCAGTCCACTAGAATGGTACCGTCATCGGTTTTGGTTGGCGCTATAGGTCGGCTGGGGGCCGCCTGGAGTGCTTCGGTCTGCGTAGCGACGGAGTACAGGCGAGCCAGATCATCCTGGGTGCGGACCTTCTCAAGATCGGTCATGGACGGCACTCGGCTCAAATTGGTGGCTGTTTCGGATGTAGAAGCATCTTCGGATTGTCGTTCATTTGCGTCGGGCTCGGAATCCGAGTCCTTCTCACTGTCTGCTTGGAAAATTGTCGTCGAAGGGGCATTTCCTGCGTAGCAATTCGGGCACTTGAAGTCCGGACGCTCCTCAGGGTAGGGCAGGACTTTGTTCCTGGTGACCCATCGCAGAAGCTGTCCAGCTGTGCTATCGCGGATGATCGAATCCATGATCGAATGTGGTTGAGAACAAGCTGATCGGTGATTGTGTACTGACACATTTTATCGAAGACATTCCGGCCATATTTATCCTCGTCCTGGAGTTCATACTGAATCTTCGTGCTCGTGTTGGAATTATTCAGCGTGGACAGGACTAAGCAGCCATGCGATTCCACGGATGGTGTTTTCGGTCATTATTCAGCACACCCGCAGAAAACACGAGGGACGGTGATTACTGATCACGAACCCTGTGTTAACCATTGGTTCTCACCAAGCCACGCCATCATCGAAGATCTGACAAAGCACGAGATTTCTAAGTGAGATCTGTAGAATAACCTACCCCCATGAATCATCTAGGGAGCTTAAGAACCAAAAGTTTGAGAAATGTCTCAGCGCGTTTGGCCAAGCTTCGTGAGTCAGTCGGACTCGAGGATCTTCAAGTTGGCAAAATCAGAACTCTGATTTGTCATGCACGCATTGCACCATGGATGATCGATGCAGATTAAATGGCTGTACAGTATATACTGTACATGTTGGCCTGGCAGTTTACAATGACCTTCCATGCAAGAAACTTGGTCTCAATTCCTTCCATGCTCGTGGAGACGAAACTCCGTGGTCTTCACGATATATGATCGGTGCGCCTCTTCTGCTCGAAGGATGTTTTCCTGGCTACTCGTACCATCTTGCTCCTTAGACGCATCTATGTGGGTCTCGAAGAGCGACTGGTCCGGCATGCGGCGTACAAAGGGAATGGGCTTCAACTTGAGACTCGGGCCGCTCAACTCATAGCCCGACGTTGAGCGGCGGGTTCGATGCACAAGGGCAGTGTACGATTGACGCAGGGTCGGCAAGGTCGCGCAAATAATGATGAGATACATCTGGACCGTACGTGAGCACTTCCTGCAAGGTAATGAGCAATGCTGGATCATACCTCAATCCTGTTTGATACATGGTTAGACCTAAGTGAGCGCCAGTCCAATGGAACAATGGTGAAACTCACGTATACCACACAGTAATTTCTGCCCAGGACCCTACAAAGCCTAGTTGGTATACTAATCTGGTCTCGCAGGTTATGGCTCGCATACATGTTATGTCTGAATGAGCAGGAAGGCTCTTCAGCAAGATGGCCTTCACCAGTGTCGCGGCTGCGGCACTAGAAATGACTCAGGTACTGTACAAACAGGAAAACAAAGGGTTTTACTCACCAAATTCCCGCCCCCATCACTGCCAGAACTCCGAGTTTGATCTTCAATGGCAGTCGAACGTGCCAGAAGACTGCGATAGGAAATATGGCAAGAGCTAAATCCGCGAAGGCGTTAAAGGCTATCCTGAAAGTCAGAGTCGGATTTCCTCGATTATCAACATGATCACTAGACACTCACCCGCTTGCGAGAGACCAAGCACTAGTTGAAAGCCTAAGCTGAAGCATTTCCCCGGGGTCTCAGGGCGCCATATTTTTTCCGCCGGTCGGCAGAAACCTATAATAGCCACAATGGCTAATGTGTTCCAAATGATCGAGACTATAGTTAGGGCGTATAAGAACCATCGCTTGCTTGGAGTGGCCGCCTGGCCCATCAGGCGCAGCAAAAATATCACGACTGATATCTTCCCTGTTGTGGTACTGATGACTGAGAAATTGGGTGCGATCACCGTATACTTAAATGCTTGAATCCTGGCTTCTTCATCCGCAATATCTGTCAAGTGCTTCCCCAGGCCATATTTTATGCCGACCTGTACTAAGCTAGAGCATACAAGAGCATTCGCCTATCAGTGGTCACTTGCGTTAGCGAGGATATTTCGCATTCGGACCTTCACAGACCTCATACCAAAGAGACAATAATAAAACCATCGTCCCAGCCAGCTTTCTGCGTCAGCCATATTCTAGTGTACAGCCGAAGCACCACAGCGAGGCTGGCAATGCTGCCAAAGATCCAAGATACAACTTCGATCTCAGTGGCCTTGTTGATGTTCATGATGAGGCGATCGATTAATGGATAATGTTGCCGCATGTACCTTACAGACAGTCGGAGCGGATTTATACGCAGCGACTTGCGTAGCGTCTGACGACGCTCGTGTCCTTGCTGGCAAGGATTGTTATTGCATCCTAAACAAGTGACCATCCATATTTAGTGATGGCCAGGTGTCTAGGAAGCCGAATGCCTAGATTTCTAGACTAGATCCGCTGAGCGTCCGCCCCTGATCATACAACCCTCGAGGCGGATCTTGTTGACCTTGGCAGTTGACCAGATCATTAGCCTCAGTGCCTTTAGACGGAGAATCATGGCCTTGTTATTGAGCTTCGAATATAGGACTCGTTGAATTGCGAGAGGTGGATTCCAAACAACCCATGCTTAATAGTCCGACAGATATTGATTGATCGGTTGCATGGCCGGTAAAATTGGCCGCAGCTTCTTCGATTGCTGCGGCGCAGCTTGGTTGCATATTTAGCGTCTTCGAAGCAAAATGACCCTAGCAAGCACGTCAACCAAGTGAAACAAGTATAAATTATTTGCCTCGTTATATTATCGACGAGGTTAGAGGCACGGATGAATACCCCTGCATCCACCGCTATCCACCTGCCACTAGCGCCGCTAACCTCGGCCTAAGGCCTAAGTTGCATTCCACCATTAGGGGCAATATCGGAGAGGTCCTAGACTAAATACTGACTGTAAGCAAAGTGATCCATAGAAATGCCTGTCAGTCGCAATCTCCGCCGGTGGTAATCTCGGAATGATGCCGGGATGCAACTCCGTCGAAGGGGGAACAAGCCTTATCAAGTAAGACTGCCCTACTATGCTACACAAACCTCAAATAGGGGAAGGAGGGGAGAACTTACCTTTAATAGGGGTATAATTCAAATATAGGCCGGTCGAGAGAAAAGGCTCCGGGGGTCAATTCAGATTCGTATCCTGATCGTCCACACACTTAGCCACTCATACCACCACAATCACCCGTCGATATGCCCTCAAACGAGAGTTATCATAATGACTCCTCGATGGAGACTGAAGCATTGCTGAGGCAAGTCAATCAGGCGGCAAACGCATTCAACGAGTCTCATGGCGAGGCCGACCGTCTGAAAGCACTACGTGCGGCACAGGAACTGGTGACTGCATTCCAGAAACCGCAGGATGCAGTGTACAACCTGGCCTATTCAGTACGGAATTAGCCCTTATAGCCAAGTCAAATGTTTCTAATGTTGATAAGCCCACCCATGTGATGTGTGTTAGGATTGCCATCGATCTGGAGATTTTCACCACCTTGAGCGAAAGGGGCTGTCCGACGAGATTGGAGGAGTTGGCGGCTGTCAAGGACGCTGATCCCATTCTGACAGGCGAGCAAATCCCGACCCTATTCTGTGATCCTTCTGACAGGGTGTTGTAGAACGAGTGCTGCGCATTTTGACCAGCATCGGTTATGTGGCGGAGCACGACGTGAGAATGTATATGCCGACGGCAATGACGAGGCAAATGACCGACCGTTTGAGTCTGGCGGTAGTTAGATTCATGTGCGTAATACCTGGCCTCCTTCGACAGAAAGTGATCTGACAGCGCGACATTATATGCTGTAGCTTCGACGTCGGGATGCCCACGCTCGCCAAAGTCCCCGAGTTTCTGCGAACAACTGAGTACAGGAATCCCTCGGGCCCCTTGAACGGTGCAATTCACTATGCGGAGAAGATGGACACTATCATCTGGGAGTGGCTCGCCACAAAACCGGGATACCTGGACGCCTGCAACACGTTCATGGAAGCGGATCGGGGTAGCCGACCCAGCTGGTTGGAGTGGTTCCCGGTTCAGGAACAATTGATCGAGGGTTATCAAAAGGGGGATAGCGATGTGCTCCTCGTGGATGTAGCAGGAGGACGGGGACATGATATTGCTGCCTTCCAGACCAAATTTCCCGATGCGCCAGGCCGGCTGGTACTGGAGGATCTTTCGCAGGTTCTAGAGAGTGCAGTGGTTCATCCCAAGATTGAACATGTTCCATTCGATCTGTTCAAGCCGCAGCCGATCCAAGGTCAGTTATGATCACGGAAACTAACTCATCAAGGTACTAACCAAAGGCCCCTGTAGGTGCACGGACTTACTATCTGAAATTTATTCTGCACGATTGGTCGGATGAGGATTGTCGTCGGATCCTGAGACATGTCGGAGCGGCGATGAAGAAGGGATACTCTAAATTGATCATTGAGGAATTTGTGCTTGCTGATAGAGACTGTGCTATGCTGCCTGCTATGTGGGACTGGGAGATGTTGATCTTCTGTAACAGTATGGAACGTACGGCGGACCGGTGGAGGAAACTGATCTGTTCTGCGGGCTTCCAAATAGTGAAATTCTGGCCCCCTCCAGGGGATGGACAAGGTTTAATTGAAGCAGAGCTGGAGTAGAGTTGACTCTTGTGTTTTTGGGAACACTGGTGAGAATGGCTGGGGCAACTAGGCGGATGACTGATGAAAGGAGGTGGAAGGAAGAGCGAAATTGGAAGAGAGGCAGCGCAATACCCGACCACAGGTGTCTTCAGCATCAAGACTAAGCCGCAGCGGAATTGGGAAGAGAGAGCAATTATTAGATTCATATTATTAGCTCATCCAGGCAATGCAGGCATGTAGCACCCATTAATATGTAGCCTAAGTATGCATCAAAGAAGAGATGTTCGTTCGAGCATGCAAAATAGCACTTTGCCAGATGCTCGGGTATTAATTACAGCTTCATGTCTCTTCTACCCAAACCGATCCCACCCTAGTCCGAGGAAGGACACCAGTCATAGTTTCCATTCACGTTGTTTCCCCACCATGATGGGAAATTGTGCGCTGGTCCTCCAGCTCCGAACACCGCGAACGAGAGGATGAATACGACCGTCAAGCTAGCTCCGTCAAAGGCGCCGGTGATCAGGTACGAGTAGTCCTTGAAAATCCGAGGCTTGAAGTTCCGGAGGTAGTACTGGACGTAAAAGCCCGCGATGACCCAACTGAAGAGGATGCAGGTCTGGCTCTGGTTGTAAGGGATATAGCCTGCATACTGAATGAACTGCGGCATGTTGATCTCGGAGACGTCAAATTTCCCGATCCGTGGGACAATCTAGAATAAAGCATGAGCATGTTAATTCTGTTCCCGGCTAGGAGAGAGCAGGGGATGGCCTTCCTGTTGACAAAGCTACCCACCTTATGAATAATCTTGTGAACGGCGACCACAGCAGCACCGATTGCCAACCCAGCCGGAACAATACTGTATTGCTTGCCAGCCCTATAGAGGTAGGATGCCAAGGCCCAGGAGGTCGCGTTGGTATTGTATGATTGCATGGTTGCACCACTCCAGGACGAGTCTCCGTTGCTGTCTGCCAAAAGTGCTCGGTTGCCGCTCACAATCGAGATCATGACAGCATAGTTGATGAACCCGCCAAGAATCGTGCCGTAGATCTGGGTCAAGAACATGACACGGGGTGGAATTTTGACTAATACAGAGCATTAGTTTCCGCGTGGTCGTGGGACTTTGGTGACACTCACGATATTCGCCCATCTTCAGGTCGTTAGACAAGGTCACAGCATTGGAAATGACATTGTGTGACCACGCAGCAAAGTACATGTTTCCAACAGGGCGGCCCGGAATCATCAGGCCAGCCAACATCTTTGACAAATTGTTGGTGGCGATTCCATTGCCATATTTGGAATAGAGAATGGTACTCTGTTGCGCGATTCTTAGTCAGAGTCCTTCTACTTTTTTGTTAGGGGGTCACTCACGAATGGCGCAAAGATGATTCCGACTATCAGCGAGACGACATATGCCCAGGCAGGAAGGGTGACGTTCTCCTTGAGGACCACGACCAGACCTAGGATGAAGCTAAAAAGCAGCACAAAGGCGTACCACCACCACGGAGTCTCTTTGTAATGCTTTGCCATGTGCACATGATGCCGATCGTCGTATTTCCCTGCTCTCGCACTTTTGTAAGTCCGCCAAATATCCCTTCCCCAAAAGAGGATGGTGTGTGCAACTAAAGCACCAATCTAGATGACTTTTAGCTTGAAGACCTCAGGCGAGACAGGACCACACCTACTGCAGCGTTGGCCATAAACATGGCAAAGGCAAATGTACCCGTGAGCTTGGGAACACCGTAAACTTCCAGGGCGGCTTCATCAAGCACTCCCCCAGGGAAGATTGTGGAGACAGGGTAGGCTGTTCCATTTGCCTGGAGTAGACGGGTCGACATGAAGGGAAGTGACCTTGAATCCCAGCCATTGCCGTAGTAGATACCAATCATAATAATGAAGCAGGCGAAAAATCCCGCTGCTTGGTGAAGCTGCAACTTGAGAGGGAGCGAGGTTTGAAAGGAGGTGATCTGCGCCGGTCAGATTTGCAATAGATTGCACACAATGAGCATCATCTTACGTATTGCCAGTCGAAGCTAAGTGTGAATAAGCCCAGGCCCTCATTGTTGGTTGCTCCACCAAAGATATTGGTAAGGATGGCGGCCTTATTGCCAGTGGCTTTCTGGGCAGCCAAGCACTGTATTTCAGAGACTTGTTAGACATTGCGAACACTCTTCTCAAACTTTATAAAGGCCACATACCGGGATAGAGACGGAGTTCAGCCATGGAAAGATGTAGGCAGGGATAATCTCATACACGGCCATGCCGCTGAAAGCATACCAGAAATATCGGAGTGGCTTAGAATTCTTCACCTGCTGCCAATGAAGGCCCTGCAAGGTCTTGACGACCGGCAGAGTACTCCAATAAACGGCCTCTGGATGCCAGACTGCGATGGGACGCATGATACCACAGAGACCATAGCCAAATAGACCAATTGAGATGGTGCTTAGAATGACGGTGGCCGCGCTCAAAGGAAGGTTGTAGAAGAGGTCCTGGGCCGCAAAGACCTGCACACTGGCGGCAGCATTTGAGGCCGAGGTGGCAGTGATCGAACAGATCGCGTGCTCCTTCAGACCAAATGGACCCGGGTTGATGAACCTGAAGACCGAAACCCACCATGGAGCCTTGCCCTGGCCGCCCTGTGCCCTCCACCGCGCCTCAAATTTATCACCACGAGGGAGAAAACGAGCCCAAGCATTGCCGACGAAGTAAGAAATGAGGACGATAAAAGTTCCTTGGATGGTGATGAAGGTGGGTTTGAACTGTGATTCCTTTTGTCAGTCGCGGCAGGGAAGAAACCTCACGGGGATATCTCTCTTGGCTGGCCTACCGTGTAGATCTGGTACATAACAGCCTGGAAGCAGGCCAAACACGAAGCCAGGACCACGCTGCGGAAGGTCAGGGCACTATCGAAGTCATCACGCAGCGGCAGCAAGTGCACAGCTGCATCCGCTCCGGTGACAATCACAGCATCTGGATCTTCATCACTCTCATGGCCGGTGTGGTCTACATCGGTCTTGAGCTCCTCGCCCTTGCCAAGCACAGTGATGGCCGTCTTCTCCTCAACAGGAGTTGAGTTTGAGGCCGACAGACTTGCACCATCAATGGGCGAAGTGGACGATGGAGGTGCCATGGTGGTTGGCTCTCACTGATGAAGGAGGAGGAGGGATGGGGGTAAAAGAATATTGAGCTGAGCTGGCCGTCCGTTTCCGTGAGTTGGCGACGCACACCTCTTATATTCTTGCACCACGTTACATGAATTAGAGGCTAACCTTAGCTTGCTGTTGTGATCAGTGAGTCTGTGATACCATAGAGCCGGGAAATGAGCCATTCCAAGTGAATGGAACGCATTAGTCCTTGCCACTGGGCTTACAGCTAGATTGACATACTAACCCACTAAGCCTATAGTAACACACCAAAAAGAAAATGAGCATGATAGCGCCTTCCAGCTTGTGACCCCTCTTGCTCTTGGCCCGATTTGCCTCCCTTGCCCCCTTGAAGGTCTGGGCTGCGCAGCTTGCTAGTTGAAATGGGAAGTGAGCCATTGCCGTGTCTAGGTTGGTCGACTACTTGGACGAAGAATGAAGGGTAAATCACTCACGCCATTGAGTGGCGTTATCAGTCCGTGGATTTCCGCTGTGCCATCACACCCTGATGCACTTTCGAGGGATTCTCTGGCAAGGGTCGTTGGTAAAATGCCCAACATGAGTGGTGCCATGAGCTGGAAGATAAGACAGGGCTAAACCTGCCAGGGAGATAACTCCATCGATATGCTGTCAACGTAGCATCGGCATGGCAGGCGGCAAATCTGGAATCAAACCTACCACGGGATTCCTACGGACCACCGACGCCAATTCTCCTAGGGCCATGTTTTGAGCCAGATGATTTGTTCTGGACATAGGCTAATGTGATTCCGCCATAGATGCAATGTAGCCCTATCCGCGCTAGTGGTCGACGGAACCCAAGACGCAAGAACCTCACTGTAAGACGTCTTGCACCAACAATTGTCGTGATTGTGGGTGGCCCTACTGAGCACTCACTGCGGCATGTTCGTGACAGTATATGTCTCCTGGGCATCCCGGTTCGTTTGCCGTACTACCTTCCACGTGGTTATCGACGCAAGTCACAATGTGAACCCAACCTCGACGGAATAGCAAACACCCCTCCGCAACGGAGCGCGGGGAAGGTTCAGGGCAACCTTCGATGGGACTGATAAGCAGCGTGTCTTGGCCTTCCACCCAACCTCAACAGAACGCCAATGAAGTCTTGGCCTCCATTAACTTTTGTCGCGCGACCATGTATATTAGATTCCCACCATCAACACGAATCGGGCCTATCCGAAGCAGGTGAATGTTCCCAGGATCATAGAAGGAAGTTCGAAAGTCAAAGCTTCGTGGATTTTCGAATGGCTTGAACATATAAAGGAGGATTCGTGGCGAGAAATGTCTTTGACCAAGAGTCTGGGCACTCGTACGCCTCGTACGCGAGGGGAAGATAAAGGAGCGAGCGAGAGCCGAGGCCTGCCACGGCGTGGGGCCCATCCCGCGAGGGGTTCTTATCTGCGTATCTGCGTGTGCGTATCTGCGCATCTTTGTGCACCTGACACTTTTGGATCCCCGGAATTGAAGATGATACTTGTGAGACATTCGAGGAAGGATATGTTGTCGAATAAGGAAATCGCCCGATGTATCTGGCTGCAGTTGGTCATCAGTGCGACATACATGGTGCAAGAAGAAAAGGGTACGATGCGGGCTTGAAAACCCGACGGAGGGCACACAGACAATCGTGCAATACAACAGCAGTAGCCTCTGGGTGCGACAGGTTTGCTATTGACCTCGCATGAATGTAGCGGCGGCAGGAGGCATGAAAGCAAGATGATGTGAGACTGGAAAGGAAGTGCTGTTTGTTCTTGCTGTTCGTTTCATCCATCAGGGAACGAACGGTTGGCCTGGTGTGATGTAAGCTGGGTAGGGTAGCCTTAGGCAGTCAAGCAAGAACCCATCATCGCATTCTTGAATGATCTCCTTTCAAACTCCCACCCACCGCAGTCTTCATTCAAAGCTTTGAACTATGCCATTCTAGTATCGGCCCTTTCTATCAACTGTCATTATGAGCTACCAATGGTACAGTACATTGCCATTATCCTGATCCAGCCGACGGCCGCCCGAGAGCCTACAATACATCTTGGCATCGATGGCTACGAGATAGTACTTTGGAATGAGGCGGAGGGCTTGTGGAGGGATGCAGCTCATGACTCAGGATCTCATCAGCAGCTGTTCAACTGGCGTCAATCGCCATTCATCGGAATGCAAAGTCATGTCGCTTACTGAACGAGACTGATGACTACCTTTCGGATGTGGCTATTTTATACGATTGGGTCAACATGCGAAGCCGCCTGCAAGAGCTAAATGAGAGAGTCTTTCTCCCATCCCTGTCTTCGAGGAATACTTATAGTCCGACCGGGGAATATCTCGCGAGCCTCGACCAGTCCTACGTTTCACCACGGCTTGGACTTGCATCTATGCTTTCCGAGAGTCAATCACTTTCCCAGCTTGACCTAGATGGCTCCCAAACAATCGCATCAGCCCATATAGCTTTCCTGCCTCTGAAACCAGACTCCAAATCTATTGTCTTCCTCCCACTGCTCGTGTCTCACCTCATGGTCGCCTGGTCCTTCGATTCTTATAGCCCCCAGAATGCCTCAGTGAAAGATGATGGCCGTAAGACAGTTCAAGAGCCTACAATCAATCTGACTGAATGAACCCGCAGAGTGACTGGAGATTTGTGAAATTGATGTGCTAGCCCAAGGGCTACCGAAGATCTCTCTGTGGTTGTCAAGATTCTCAATAAGAGTGGCGAAGTGTTGAGGATCTACGGACTACATCGGCAAGATATGCCTGCATAGCCAACAACACGGACGGGAAGATGCAGCGGGTGGATCCGGCATGGAGCGAAAAGCTCCATAAACGAGACTAACTGACACGAGCACTCCAGAGTGTGGCTTTGTGAAAAAGAGGCGCAGTGAGGCAAATATTCCACACATCCACTTCATGAGGACAAAGTTTAGCTGCAAATTGTCCGAGATGAATGACAGAACGTCAATCGAAAAAATGTCCTGACTCCTCACCCAACAAGGCTTTGCGGCTCGGAATTTGCATTTGCAAACAGGCAAGCAGACAGTCGCTGATACGACACACCGCCAATTCGAGAGATCTTCCACTATTGCCAAGTAGCTTCTCGTTCCTCCCCACAAAAGCAGGCTGGTCGGCTGGATCGCTAAACCTTGCCGTGTTTCGAGAAGCCTCCAAGGAATGGCTGTCGAACTCAAATCTCCCCGGCTGCGATAAACGCATGCGAATTATAGGGTTCATTCGCGTCGGACTTGCCGATTGATTCAAGGATAAATTATTGAGATCACCGCCAGGCAAGGACTGAATGACCCACTGTGCTTCATCAGTTGGACTTCACGCCCGTATCAATATGTGGTCAAAACAACCGATCGGAGAGGGCAAATCGAGGCTAAAACACCTGACCAACGCCAAGGACGAGACTGACTCGATCTAATCCTAAAGGGGCAGTATGTATCGACTTTGTATAGTCTAGTCTGGTCTAGCTCGCTCTCGAGAATCTCTCCATCGCCACCCAGCTGGCCGACAGATCCGTGGTGGAAAATCTGTCAACCTGCATGCAGAGTCTGGGAGGAGAAGCAATATGTGGGGAGAGACTGCTTTAAGCATCCAGAATCCACGTTCCTCTCGCACCAAAGCTGGGGAGAGCTGTCCACGACAGAATTCATGCAATGAGGTCATCAACCCTTCATCACAATATATACCAGAACTGATTCTATCCCGGCATCTTCCTCAATGTGGAGACGAGCTCGTTCCATCTTCAAAGCTTCCAACCCCGGTGGCTGATCATAGCGGAGCTGAAAACACTCCAGGTATTTACCTGAGCGATACACGGTGAGTCAATCGACGCACTGGTCTGATCGTTAACGAGGAGCGGTGACTGAGCTTGAGACCTTGAGATACTGCTTTCCCTTCCGGGCATGGGTCCTCCACGCCTGGCCTCGAACGCACAAATGGGACGGGCTCCATCATGAAAAACTTTCACCAGGTCCACCATAGCTCGAAGATCCACCAAGCTGAAATGCGAAGCTCAGAGTCTCGCCCGCTATTGTGAAAATGCTTCTACGCTCAGTACGCTGGAATACTCTTGCCCCGGGGAAAGCTTAAATAAGAGACGATCCTCGCCCGTCAGTCCCTCCTCTGTGCGAATCAGTCTCCATTTCTCTTCGCGTCCTTCTCCTTTCACATACACACAATGAAGGCCGTTACTTCCTGGAGCCTTGTGGCCCTCCTGCTGCAGGCCGCTGGCACTAACGCCGCGATCCGGACCGATCTCGGCGCCCGTAATGTGCAGATCGCGGAGATGGACGGCACTGGTGTCCGCCATGGGGATCAGATTGTCTTCTCCGATCCCCGCTCCGACTTCGAGGAGTACTTCCGTTGCGCTCCCGCGTCCGGCAAGCACCTCACCTTCAGCGCGTCTGGACGGTATGCCGCCTGCTGCTACCCCTCTCAGCAGCTTATCGGCAGCATCGACACTGCCTTCGACTGCTGCGGCGAGGGCCACGAGCTCGCTGGCTCCAACAGAACTGGGTACCGCTGCTGCCCTATCAGCCAGATCTTCGATGGCCAGGTCTGCAAGGCCCCTCAGCCTGTGTGCACGAAAGGCAAGGTGCTGGTGAACAACAAGTGTGTCTGCCCCGCCGGATACTTCGAGAACGCTCTGGGCAACTGTGAGCGTACCTGCACCTCCGGTATCTCCACTGGTAAGTCGCAATCCCTCGGCTCTCATATCTTCTCAAGCTCCAGATTGCTAAATCTGATGGTCATCCGCAGGCAAGTGCTACACTTTCACCTGGGAGAACGCCGAGCGTCTCGGCTTCAACGCCGAGGGTTACTACCTCGCCGCCCAAGACGACCTCCAGCAGAAGTTCGGCAAGTTCCAGCTCTGCAAGGACGAAGTCTGCACGCCCAACCTCCCCGTCAACCCCGAGGACGGTTTCCGCATCAAGGACCTGCACGGCAACCCCGTCGACGGCCAGCAGCCTGGTCTGTGGCTCAACAACGCCCACAACGGCGGCCAGATCGGCAAGACCGTGCACTGGGACAAGTCGGGCGAGTTCTCCCTCACCAAGTGGCCCTGCGGCAAGTACTGCCTGACCGGATACGACCACGGTCTGGGCGTTGCCTACCCCGCCCTGACCCCTGCCTTCACCTTCACTACCTATGACCAGCAGTCGTGCATCCCCATCGACATCACCGAGGTGCCCTGCGACGTCCGCCACCCCAACAACAACTGCATCTGGAAGAACGGCAAGGATCAGTGCTGCAACTCGGTGGACTGCACCGCCCAGGTGTAAGTGACAAAAAAAAAAACAAAAACACACACACTCACACTTTAATAAACGAATGTATTGTTATTTGTATGCATGTTATGGTGGAACCGAAATGAGAGAATGAAGAGAAGAACCAAAGCAAGAAATGAGCAATGCCAATAATCTTTTGATGTTTTCATTTATGGCTTGTGTATGAAAACGAATTTGTTTCTGTTGTTGTTGTTGTTGCCTGCTTCCTTTTCTCGCGATTGTCACTTCGTTCCATGTATGTATACTAAGACTGGTCGATAGGGTCTCTTTCAAATATAATAACCCCGTGATTCTGTTGATCCTCGTGTTGGTGTCTCTCCATCTTCTGTGGTGTCATATCTCGCCGTTTTTCTATTTCGGTTGATTGGACCGGCTCCACCTTGAAC